CAACCAACTTTCCTAGAGTTACAGAAACCTGTAAGCACTACTTTCCATTGGCGACACAACACGCGAATCAACCACTTTGTTGAGCGTTTAAGAAAAAAACAACACAGCAAGTAACCATGAAGGTATAATGCAATGTAAACATTTAGTACCCACTCATGTATACTAGCCAACATCAAGTCAGGGGGTGGCACACCTGGCCCGTACTCCCTCTCTGCTTGATTTATCTTTTGCCATTGCACTGGGGCACCAAATGGCATTATAGCATGGCATTAAGGCACACATCTTTCTGTCCAGTCGACATCTTCCATCAAAGTGATGCCTCTCCCCCCCTTCCCCCCCCCCCCCCCACCCGCTTCGGAAAACAAATTTTTTGCCTACAACTCATCCTTCATGACTACTCGCCATTCTAGAAATTATAACTTCGATTCCGGGATTTTCAAAGAAATGCGTAATGCCTGTCATCGTAATTTAATAACCAAGTTTAGCCCTTTTTTACACAAAATATGCTGATCGTAATAACGTTTACATTGATGAGTCATGTAGGAAACAATGTTCTACGTCAGCTTTCCGCATATATTGAATTCCAAAAAAAAAAAAAGCTTTTCGCCTCTGTCACTCTACAACGTCTACAACGGCAGAACTATTTACTGTATCTACTTTCTGGGTGGCGCTTCATATGTGGACTGACAGGACATTTTCGCTGGGTAATTTTAAGCGACTTACAAGCCTTATTGGTGTGTAGAAATACATCAGTTTAGAAAAAAAACAGATAACAAATCAACATACGAAACTATGTAGCCATGCACCTTAGCAAAAGCTTTACATCATGGTATCGAGGTTTTACATCATGGTATCGAGGTTTTACATCATGGTATCCCAAGTCACTGTGAAGTCGCCGGAAATGCTACAGCTAATTATACGACACATACACGCATTCTGAGAACGATTTATTTCTACAACCTCTCGCTGTGAGCGATGCATGAAATCTACCCGCCACGGTGGTCTAGTGATTAGGGTACTTGACTCCTGACCCACTGGTCGCGGGATCGAATCCCGGCCGAGGTTGCCGCGTTTTCGATGGAGGCTAAAATGCTTGAGGATCGTGTACTTAGGTTTAGATGCCCGTTAAAGAACCCCAGGTGGTCTAAATTGTGTAGCCTTTTTCTACGGCACTTCTCATAATATTATGACCTCTTTGACTCCTTTGTATTGTCGCTATTTCTAGTCCGTTTAAGAAAAGTCAAGCAAGACGCCTGAAGCGAGAGTCATTTTTTTTTCAACAGTGCAAATACTGCGTCACCCATGTAATAATTGCTGAAGTGGATATTTTATTCATACTGGAATATAGGGAATTGTGATACCGAAGTGATCGTGCTGAACATTTTAAGAGTGGAACTCTATAGGCTCTCCGTTGAACCTGGTAGGGTAAGCAGGAATTATCATCGCAATGTACCGATACCTGCTCGCCTCGTCATCCTCAACTTTTGCTTTGCTCCACCGACACGTGTGCCAATTTGTCCGGCATCGAATACAAAAACTATCATGCATTGGCGAGTCCGCTTCGCGACCTTAAAACAAGTGGTATCGCGGAATAACTAGTCACGTCAAATCACGCTAAACAAAATCGCGAAACGTCACTTAAACCTAGTCACGTGACTAAAATAACGCAACAACACCTATGTGAGGTCACATAACATGATGTAACCAGTCACGTAACGAGAATAATGTAATATGTCTTAGTTGGTCACATGACTAAAATACCGTAACACCATGTCACGCCTAGTCACGTGTCTAAAAATTCCACAAAAGTTAGTCGCCAGACTAAAATCACGCTATACATCGAGTAATAGCTAGTTACACAAAAATTTTCGCCATAAACACGTAGCAGCTATAGTGCCATGACAAAAACCACATCACATAAGAGGCAGTCAGGGGACATGTCTAGCCAAGCCTAGCAAAATTTTGTGCTACTTGCTAAAACTTAGCACTTCTAGCAAAAGCATGACATATTACTATAGCAAAACTTAGCTAGGTCGAACACAAGCTCCACAGATGGTTCCAGTGTCACGCCACTATGATGCAAACTGCGCACTTTTGTTTACATTTTCGGGGAAAGGCTGTTGAATTCAGCCATTTAAATAGAAATGTGGAAGTGGTTTCCAACCATGTCAGGCCAGTTTGGTGAATTTTACTGGCCTTGGCTCAAGTTGGCTAATGTAAGGCTAGTTATTTCTATTTTTCTATTTCGTTGTCTTTTTGACCTGGAAACTCTGCCTTCTGGTGTACGCACTAATTGGTTGAGTGAGTGAATCAATCAGTGAATAAGTGAATATCTTCTGTTTACAAAAGAAAGCAAGCAGAAGTCAAAGGCAGGGTGGCTTGACAAGCGTTTCTGCTCCTAGAGCGATTTTGCTCGAAGGCCGTACTTTGTGCGCAAATCATACAAAATATGCCGTCAATACATGATTCAATGAAACTAAATGGCGTTCTTTGTTACCATAAGACAAGGAACAAGTCACGCTCACTCGCGACAAAGAAGTCAGAGTATTATAACTGCAGATAACGATGAAGATAACCTCGAATTTATGAGTACATCAAAAAAAAATGGCAGCATATCCACGGAGTCAATGATGGATAGTGGGGCGAAGCATCCGTACGTCCATTCGTTCTTGCTTCCGTCCATCCATGCGTGCGTCTGTGTGGCCGCCCATGCGTCCATCCGCCCGTCCGTGCGTGCGTCTGCTCGTGCGTCCACACGTTCATCTGTGCGTCCGTCCATGCATTCGCTCCTGAGTCCGTCCATGCGTCCATCCGTTCATGCAGCCATCCGTGCGTCCGTCCATGCATCTGTCTGTGTGTCCGTTCGACCACTTATTCAACACTCCAAGTACTACCATCTCGCAGCTTTTCATCATATATTCCTCATATAGAAACACCGCCATCCAGCGGACATTCCAAGGACTAAACGAGAGGTGGCACACGCACACTTTCTTACGGCTTGCGCTTCGTGTCTACTTCCCACCTTCAACCACCTCGAGTTCATGGTATATACTAGTTCACTGTATTCATGGCACTGCGGCCCAACACTCGCTAAACCTTTCTAAAATCTAAGAGGTTATGCCCAGCGAGTATAACGTAGCAACCATTTCTTGTCTTCTGTGCGTTGTTGAACAATAAAAAATTCACAGCGTGCGCGTTAACTAAAAGCCGACTTGTCCTGTCTCTCATTCCCCCTTAGCAGCCATTGGCATGTACATTGAGCACTATTTTTTATTTTTCAACAACGCACAGAAGTAATCTCTCACCGGCACCACCTTGGTGGTCAAAATGTTATACTTGTTACACACTACTACTACGGCTACGAGGGACGAACGGGTGCCGCTATAAGGAGCTTCGCCCCTAAAAAGCTCGTTCAGCAGAACGCACTCCTTTTTTTTAATGTTTAAGGCAGTCTGTATGCCCGTCCAATTGGTTGAATTTCGTTGTTTTACCATCTGGTACTTTTGTAGAGAACGCCGTATGCCTTATGCAAGCCCAAATCGTATGCACGTGCTTAGTGTGCGTAGCTGGTGTGTCTAAAACCCGACAGTGCTACGATTCAGGTGGGGTTAAAGAGGCAGGATGTGGTTTGTCTGTATAGCAGTGCAAAAACCATGCATGCGAGGTAAAACGCACGCGGGAACGTTTGCCAATAGCGACACGCGCCTTCTGTGGTTGGCTTGCTCATCGTCTCGGTTTCGGCTTCCACATGTGCGGTGCAACTGGTTGCTGACTGGTTTTGAAAGCCGCATGTGGGATTGCAAATATATATATAGCAATTACAAAACACTGAGTCGTATTGTTTCATTGAGGAGACGAAGAAAAAAATTAGGTCACGCGTCTGACTATTTGACGGGCTGTTCGGAGAATTGTATGGAGAATTGCCACATCGCTGGTATGAGTATGCCGCATTCGTAACGGTAAATTTGTCTAATGCTTCTACAGACGCCACTGAGAGACTTCCTGTGGAAACCTGCACTATGTGTGTGGTGTGCAGTGTGTCTCTTTTTCTCTATATTCCTCTCTTTCTCTCGTTCTCCCTTGTATCACTCAAGTGTCGCATAGTAAACTGGACGTAGTACAGTTAACTTCCCTACCTTTCCTATACTTCTCTTTCTCTCTCTCTCTCTCTCTCAAAGTTTCTGAAGTGCTTAAATTCGTTAAATTGACGAGTTTCGGTCGGTAGTTACCACATCTAACAGTGTTAATATTTGCGTGTATGTGTGAGTGTGTGTGTTGCTTCTCTCACTTCAACATCTTTTATTTCCTTCCCCACTTTCCACAACGTAGAGTATTCAGCAAGCCGGAGTTTCCTATCTGTTTACTTTCTTTTTTTCCCCGCTCCATTTATAATGAAGTACTTGGTCGAAGAACACCAGAACAAAAAAAAAAGGTCATGCATATTAGCACTTTACTGTAGCAAAATGTCAAGAACACACTTTCGTAATGTCTATGTGTGTAAGCAACCAAAGCAGCACGAAACACCTAGAACGGCAAATAGTGGCAAAATGCATGCACATTTGTTTATTTTCTTGATTTACACGTATGCGTGCATATCTGAGGAAAAGCCAACAACCAACTATTTCTTTTCTTGATTTACAGGCATTTCCCCTGAAACCTGCAAAATGGTTGCATTGCAGAATCGAGAGATTGGGTGCGGTGTTCCTCCTAATAGTATTTGTATACGTCACCATCCAGTCCATAAATCTGCCATCGAGCAATTTTTTCCACGAAAAACCTTTGAGGTGGTTCCCGGAGGTAATGACAAACGATCTGTACATGGAACGGCGGTACAACAAGCCAAATAAGTACATCATCAACCCTCAGAATGTGTGCCCCTCAAACGCACTCGTAGATTACCTGTTCGTCGTCTTCTCAGCGGCTGAACATGTCAGAGTCTCGTAGAGTTCTCAGGGACACATGGGTTAAGGACGCCAGGAGGTCCTCTGGAAACAGGGTGATTTTCATCTTCGGCCAGCCGGGTAACGCCAAGTTACAGGAGTGTCTTGGAATTCGAGTCGGAGCAGTATGGCGACATAGTGCAAGAAAGCTTTCGGGACAGCTACAAGAATCTGACCTTCAAGACTGTGGCGATGCTTCGCTGGGCTAACATTCACTGTCCCCAAGCTCGCTTTGTTGTCAAGATTGACGATGATTCCTTGCCGAACCTGGCGAACTTATACAGAGCGATGCACGGGCAGCTGGAAGATGCCATCTACGGGGAGCTCAAACGCGGTTATGCTCCAGAGCGCAGCCCGACTCACAAGTGGCACATCCCTTACGAGGAGTACCCTAGAAGCGTTGTCCCGGATTTTATCATGGGAGGCATGTACGTCATCGGTGGTCGCGTGGTGGATCTATTGTACCGAGTCACCGGTCAAGTCAAGCCCTTTCGAATGGAAGACATGTTCTTAACGGGAATGTGCGCAGAAAGGGCGAAGGTTACCAGGAAGCATTTAGTTGGCACTTATATAGAGAAGTTGTCGTCTCCGTGTGACTACAAGAAGTCCATTTACGGCCACCACGTGTCTGCCACTGAAATGAAGGACGCGTGGTATGCCATGAAGAGCGTCGAGTACAAATGCATTCGCCTGTTTTTCAGTGTTCACTTCTGCCGCTGCATCTCCAAGTACAACATGCCAGCACTGGAAGTTGAGACCCCTGTCTTCTAGTGCACGTCAAATATCTTGTTAGAGTGTATACGTCACTATTTACAAAGTCTGCTCTCTAAGATCTGCTGATCAGGAGGAACACTGTAACACAAAGAGGTGTTAGCACTAATATATATTACAAAATAGCCTGAATGAATTACAGTTATATGCAGCATGTGTACAAAAATGTAAACCAGCCGTAATAGCTTAACGGGCTACAGCATTTCATGGCTACGCACGCGGGCACGGATAGCTGAAATGCGAATGCGGTCAAGTAAGATTATGGCGCCCGGTAAAGATTCCCATTTGGCAAAAAGCATTCCAGTATACCTCACTACGCCATGCCAAGCGTAACGCTAGTATGTTATATGTAACGATGACCTAAAAGGTGTTCTTTAGCTTATGAAATCAGAATAACCTTGTTTATCTAATGTGACTTAGCACCATGAAGAAGAGCAATGAAAAAAATTGGGCCTTATTTTTGTAACCAATGTAATAAACGACTAACAAACGAGTGTAACAAGTTAAACTGGTGTGCTTCTTGAAGCCAAGAGACAATGAAGCCAATGATTTTCTGGCTTCATTGACTGTTGGCTTCATTGAATTATATCTAACAAATAAACAAGTCCTTCTGTCACTTTGCCTTCTTGCGTTCTTAGCGCCTGCTTATTTGAGGAACAAGCACAGAAAACTTAAAATATACATTAAACCACAAGCTCCATCGAAGGAAATACTTGAATAGCCAGGCACAATCTCACCCAGCAGTGACAACGTAGACGAGTAAATTACCAAAGAGGAATTATTAGACGTAAAAACAGCGTACACGTACAGGCAGCCGGTTTAAAAACCAGATAATTACCACGATTTGGCAAACAACAGTGCTCATGTTTTTAGCTAGACGGCTCATTTTGCTCTGCATGTTGTAACTTCGTTTTGTCGTATCTACAGTTAGCGTGTATACCTTTGTGTATACCTTTTCAAACCTAATACTCAAGTTCTATTAAAGACGGTGTCAGCTGCTGAATGAGCGTGTCAGCTGTTAATTAGTAGCACGAACACCGAGTTACACTCATATGTTTCTTTTCCAGGCACTTCCAGTTGAGCACTTCTAGTAAAAGGTATCCTAAAAATTAAAACTGGTACAAAACCAATGGTATTGGTTAAAGTAAATTGTTATATTCAACCAGACATCGTATGGAGCAAATGTTCATCAAAATAATTCAATGAGTTCATTTGAAGGACCTACGCTTTCCTTGTGAGCAGGTGGCTTCATTGCGACAACTTTTGGAGTAGATCTCGAACGCGCGCTTCTATTTTTGTGGTCTCTAAGATCCGACTCCGGTAGCGTGGCGAAACACATAGTTAACCCAAGGCCCACACAGCTAAGGTATCCACCAAGGCACACGAACGCCGACGTTCGGGTGCCTTTACCAGACACCTAAGTCTTCGAGTGAACTCAACACCTTCCCGTTCACTTCATCGAACAACTAACAACAATTAGCAAGACTGATAGTTGGGCTAGTTGGTGATACATCATGGGCGGTAATAGCGCACAAACTCTTGGGGCGAAAAGAAAGGACACAAACAAGCACTGACTCTCAACTGAAGATTCGTTATTAAGACCCAGCCATCTTGGCGGCAAGAATGGCCTCTCGCGAATGTCGCGCAAGAGTGCTGTCATGGCACTTGCGCCACGGAACATGCCCAGAGGACCTAGTGGCCATGTGCGGTAGGATACGATCGTCGGTAGGACACACCAAGTGAATGTGCCGAATTTGTGAGCTATGGAACCAGACAAGACTGCTTAAGGACTGCCTAAGGACAACCTGTTTACTACAGTGTGGAAGAAGAGAGGAGAAAAGAAGATATGACGAGTGGTGTCGAACCAGCGATTCCTTGACTGAGTTTCTTCGGATGACAGCCAGATCACGAGCACCGAAATGCAACAGGAGGACAAATCCTGCGGGCAAGGTCTTGAACCTAGTCGATAAAACAATACCGGAAGAGCACCTGAAGACACTTAAGCTCGGCCCAAAGTTCTGCGTGGAACCGAGGCTCAGTGCCGTTGAAAAGGTAGCCTTAGCGAGGACTGTTTCTAAGCATGTTACGGAGGATAAGAGGAGAAGGTGTGCGTCTGAATGTACAGATGTCATTGTGCGTAGTCCAAAAGAAACACAAAAGAAAAGCATGCGGTAACTACCTCTTGCTGAGTCCTTGAAAGAAAAAAGTTGAAGTTGATGACCGCGGATAAGGAAGGTTTTTTTGTATTGTTGACTGAGGGACAGTTCTTTGAAAAAGCATCTGTTGCTCAGATGAAAAACTTCCGGGTAGTGAAAGGTGAGCCGAAAAAAGTTAAGGAAAAAGCAAAGAGCCTCTTGCAGGAAATGAACCTAGAAAGTCTGTCTAGAAATGTATCGAATGCTCAGGGGTTACAACTGGGCCATTTCTTTTCTATAAAGACCCATACACCGGAGCAGATTTTACGCAGTATTGTTTCCGAAAGAGACAGATGGCAATTGATCGTTTCAACCTTTTTTGCAGGAGCAACTATAAAAACTAAAAGTGCAGTATCCATTGATAATAACGAACTCAGGTAATCGTTGAAGAATTACGTTGTGCAAAGTATCACGGATGCGCAGCATTTATTGTAAACGTAGTAGAATTATATCATTCCCTTCCACAGCGGCAGCTAATAAAATGTGTAAAAGAATGCATGACGGAGGACAACGAGGAGCGAAATTTCCAAAACGAATGTGGTTGGAAGGTGGAAACGTTTCCAGAGTTATTGATGTTCTATTTGCAATCAACCTTCATTGTTTGGGAAGAGAAAACGGTGGTTCAAAAAGCGGGAGTCCATAATTGGATCTAGGGCGGCACCAGTTCTCAGTGACATCTTTCTCAAGAAAGTTGATTCAAGAATATAAAAGAAATTGGAGGGGAAGGTGGTTCGTGTCGCCCGTTATGTGGATGATTGCCTAATAGCAGTGCCCGAAAATTAGAAGCTCATGAATGCTGAAAAGGTCCTGCGGATCTTTAAAAAACTGGGATGAGGCTGAAATTCACCAGCGAAATGCCTTCACATCATGCCTTACAGTTCCTAGACATAAAGATAACCTTTACTAACCAGCAATCTTGTTGGGCGTATAACCCAAGATCAGTAAAACCGTCGCTTAATTACAAGTCTGGTCATTCAAAACTAGTGAAGAAAGGCATCGCTACGTCTCGCCTCGGGGCTACGTCTCGCCTCGGGGCTTCGTCTCGCCTCGATTCTGAAGTCGTGCAGGCACAAGGTGGAAAAAAACTTCTATGAACAGGTGTGTCGTCTTCAGGTAGCTGGCCTCCCGACGCCTGTTATCACTTCTGTTTGCGAAGTTTTGATGTGTCAGATCAAGAAGGAAGAAAAAAGTGTTAAAAACAAGAGAGGTCAAAGAAATGTGCCACCATGCCCTACAAGCATAGATTAGCCCATGGACTAAAAATGTGGCATCCCGATACGATGAACAGGCTTTATTCTCAGCAACAAACAAATTAAGAAAATGGTGCCTTATGGTGAACAAAAAGCATTATAAAAAGAGTTCTAGCCAAAATGCAGTGTAAGACACAGGGACGCTTCACTACTCTGTGTACTAGGGGTGGTGTACGGAATTCCCTTAACATGCGGAAAAGTTCATATCGGGCAAACAGGGCGTTGTCTCTATGTACGGCTAAAAGAAAACTCCAGGACCTTCAAGACCGGTACGTACGCGAATCTGCATTCGCACTGCCACTCGTGTGGGTGCACGCCTTTGTTGAATGAAACGACAGTTCTCTTCAAACATAGTGATCAGATCACAAGAGAACTTGTGAAAGCATTCCATATAAAAAAAGAAGGGGAGTCCTGGGTTAGTCAAACATTGATATCTTTACTTGAAAAAGAAGAAATACTAATCAGTAGAATGTTTCTTTGAATGTAATTTGTAGCGCCTGCGCAGTTACCCATAGCGTAAAATTGTTAATGACGTCGACACGGTTCCTCGCTGGCCCCTATGCGCATGCTCTGTGTTTTCATCTCATGTGTTCAGAGGATTTGTATGTTTCAATAAATCTTCATTTGTGAGTCAGCGCTTGTTTGTGTCCCTTCTCTTCGTCCCTCGAGTTTGTGCGCTGTTACCTCCCATAACAATAATTAGACAAGCATATGCACTATTGCTCAAACAAAATATCTGGTCAGTAGTCGGGCTTCTCATTACCTTAACACGACAGTGTTTAACGGCAAAGTAACCAATATATATCACTAGTGTATTTCTGTCATAAAAATATGCGAGTGAAATATACATGGCAAATAAAAACCACAAGATTTTTTTTTCGTTTAAATAAACTGAGAGTCAAGCCTACAGCTTGTCGGCTCGTGATGATGGATGCCGGGCGCTTTACGAACGGCGTTACCGATGCCCATGACGAGATTTCACAAACTCATCTGGTATCTTTCACACTTTCTCCCTTTCAGAGCAGGGGCGTGGTGTCGCCATTTGGGATCACTGAGCTAAAGTACGCCTGGTACCGCGTCATGACACATACGAGTGCCGACAGTGAGCGCTTCGATAGTTTCAACTTTCGGTGCAGCCTATACACAGGGACATTTAATACACACCAGCGGGAAGCGCCTTCTCGCGTTCACGCCTACAAGCTACGAATTCTGCCTCACTCGTTCCTGGAGCGCTGTGTGGAATGTGCATGAGCACAGGCGTATAGGCCACATTATTGGTGGGGACAACAGTCCTTGACGTTTGTCTCCTCAAACGACAACACTTTGAATGAGCGCGTATCGCGTACCAGTGTGCTTGCAGATGCCGCCACCTTTGTGTCAGATTCGGCATATGCTGCGTCCAGGCGCGTGATAACTACATCAGTTACCACAACAGTTAAATAATCATCTTTGACGTTAGTCGCCGGGATGGAGATGTGCCACTAGGCGTCAGCATCAGTGCATCCACGTAAAACGGTCATATAGCTGCCAAGCACAAATTGACATATACTAGATTTCGTAATAATTAGTGTACATTAAACAATAAACCATATTCCTATAAAGAAACGGTTCGCTTTCATATCATACCGATTCCTACGAAGGAGGGATCAATCATGTTTTATATGACCCATTATCCCGGTGGATGTTAATCAGGTGCGGCTTCAGCCCCGTACACACTTCCTCCAATAACTCTACTATGCACACTAAAACACGTGACGCCTCCCCCTCTCTCTTGCTGTAATGCACTGCATACGGCAAATCGCCGCAGTCATCGATACAGCATCTGAGTTCACCAAGCCCAGCGTCAGGCCCTGTGTCAAAAACTATGCGGCTTTCTGGCACGTCAAACGTTCGTTAGAATACGATATAAAATATCCACACACAGAGCTCACAAGAACAGGCAACCTGCACTCTTTGGAATAACATGAGAGCACACTAAGCTCTAGAAAAGGTAGTGGAGCCGTCACGTTTTCTATAAACCGATTCGGAGCACAGAAGCCGTGCCGACATCTGCGGCAAGATATACTCTACTGTCAAGTGTAACTGCACCAGTTGTAAATGTAAGACGCACCTCGTCTTCAAGAGATTCTGCTAACACGCCAGAGTGACGTCACTTTTGCCGTCCAAGGTGAGTGTAGTATCCCTTGACGTTGCTAATCCATTGTTTCAAACCTCCTCATAATATTTTTCACATTAGTAGGGTTGGTATATTCAAGCTACATATATAAGTACAAGCTTACATTAGCCGGTTAAAGCTTAAGAAAGAGCAAAGCTGGTAAATCTTAGGGGCTCAGCGTGGCCTTCTTGGCTTATAATAGATCTCTCCTTGACTTGGACAAAGTATAGTCAAACCACAACCTGTCATAAAGCATGCAAGTTTGTCCAATCTTAGGGGCTCAGCGTGGCCTTCTTGGCTGATATTAGGTCTCCCCTTGGCTTGGACAAAGTATAGTCAAACCACAACCTGTCATAAAGCATGCAAGTTTGTCCAAACTGGAAGTGTGTCCAAATTTGTATGCGTATACATCTTACACTTTCCCCCAATTACAAAGGTGGACTCCTGCCCCTAACTCTCCCAACCAGTCGTCGCACCTGCCATCTCATCTTTATAGACCTCACCTCTGTGGCTCGAGGAGAGCGTATGGAGCATGCATATACATGTGCTAAGATATACGTGCTTCTTGTTATGGAAAAGACACGACCACTTGATAATACACTGACTGCAGTGAGTCAGTGATACCCCTGTTTTTTTTTTTTACTTCCGGTTGTACGTCACACACACGGGGGCAACGGAATGGTATCACAATACACAACAAACATGCACAGCGAAAGGGACACGACAAACAAGAGATCAACGGTAGCATTGCCGTCAACCAGTGCTTTAACAATAGTGCGGGATAAAAGTTTTTTATAGTTAGTAAGCCTTCTACGCTTTCCGATCATAAACAAATGGCGGTGATCCTGCTAGAATACCAGCAAAACAGGGATTTAAAGAAAGCATAACACGGTTTATCGAGTCAGAAAGAACAAAAGAATATGTTCCTTATCAGCGACACCCCGCGTTTCAAGGATTTTTATCTCAGACATAAGTATTCATTATTTAATAACTGCAGTCGTGAAAGCACGAAACTCGCCGTACTTGTAATGCCCACTGTATTATATTTGTTACATTGAATATAATGCCCCCAAAACATAATAAAGCTCTCAAATGTTATAGAAAACCAGTTATTGCAGATTTAAAATGGTATAAGTTACAATAAGTTACATACCTAGTCAAGGTAGTTAGTTATTTGCAACCCAAACTAATTGTTATGCCTGAAAATATTTTTGTTCATTTTTGCTTAAAAGTAACTTTACACAGTCAGACTTCTTTCCCAATTTTCCTCTATAAGCATAACTGTTTGTGGGCATTACAGGGTTATTAATAAAGATGTCAAAATTAAAACTGTGCGTACTGTGTTGTAGTAATTTTCTCTCGCATGTACATAGACCCTTTAAATTGATCCTGCCTGATATTTTAATGAGGCAAAAAATTAGCGCTAGACTGATTTGAGTATTTATTTGTCGTACCTGCCCGGCAGGAAAAGAAAAGAATGCGTAAGCCATCCTAATTTATATAAATATGGGTCAATTACCCGTACGTCATAAACAGTAATGACACGGAGTGTTACTGGAGGCAAATTATCGGGTATTTGGGTGACGTTTATTTTACTCTGAAGTTGCCTCACGTTGTTGTGAAGCAGTATCCGGTGGCATCACAGATCAAATTCCGAAAATAGAGCCTTTACATATTGTAAACTAAAACATTCTCGTCCGGGTCAAGCGTAGATAAGCGCACACGCACACGAGGCAGAAGACAATCGACAAACAACGTCGGCCTAGTCTGGTGCCGAGCACGTGGTCTATTCTCGCACACGAGGCAAGGACGTGGTCTCTGAGCCAATAGAGTGGACCCCCTTGCCATATTCTAGCCTTCTTCGTGTAGGTAACGTAACAGCCCTCGAAGTGAGCCAGCTCAGCACGACGTGCGTAGACGCTGTCAGCGAGGGTACCCGTCACGTAGAGGTCCTCGGGCGGCGTAGGCGGCGACTGCTCCGTGGCCGAGGCGTACAGAAGCGGCTCGACCACGTCTGCGGTGAGGACGTACGCACAGCCGACGAGGTAGCCCAGGACCCCGCTGCAGTTGCGTATAGCGAAGTTGTCGTCGGTCGGTTCCTGGCAAGGCCTCGCTCCCAGTGGCACGAACGAGCCAAACATCTCGTAGTCCATCGAATGACCCACGAAGAAGTCGTACGAGTCTTGCAGGAAGCGGTAGTTCACGTGGGCGCCGTCGTTGACCTTGACCAGGAAACGGGCCTGGCGGCAGAACTGAGACGTCCATTTGAAGATCATGAGGCTGGTCAGCGTGGCGTTCTCGGGCGTCGCGTAGTAGTCGCCCACCACGATGTCCCCGTAGCGATGGATCTCGGAGCGCAGCTTGGCTCTAAGTCGGAGTGACTGGGGCAGGCCTAGAAAGAACAGCAAGAGTATGCCCTTGCTACTCGTCTGTGCCTGTTCCCAGGCTTCGGCCCGCATGATCTGTCTGAGTGCGTAGTTATGGGGCAGCGAGTTGACGGCGACAAGGTAGCGGAATGGCCGTGACAGGCCGTCCCCGTTACAATCGTAGTCGACGTTCCAGAGTAGGCGGTAGGGAAAGAGTGGCTTGCGCAGTGACTTTTCGGGATCGCTGCTCCTTATCGAGGTTGGCGTCGGGAGAGAGCAGTTGCGGCAGAGCACGGCTTCCGCCGAGGGACCGGCACGGGCGGCGGCGACTCGCCGTGGCGCTGCAACAGGATGACGCGACGCCCGAAAGCGATGACTCGGCCCTTCACCACTGGCGACACCAGGGTTCACGATGGTATAAGCGAGACAGACGAGGCACGCTGCCACAGTTAGCACCTGCAGCTGTGAGGGTGTTACAATGAGTGGCAGCATGCCATCGAAACCGGCTATATACCACATTTATTACTTACTTGCTCCTAATAACAACAATGCTTTCCAAAACCAAAAGCATGCAGAGGCAGAGAAGTGTCATCTTCGTCAGTGAGGTCAGGTACGACTGTACGAGCTAAATCATCAACTAAATTAAAAACTTGCTCACCATAGTGAACCTAACTGTACAATAACGAAATACTATATATATATATATATATATATATATATATATATATATAAATGAACTTTCTTTGAATATAATTAGAGATCTTTGGCATTGTTTGTTTCAAATTTGTGGCCAGCTTAATAAGCGTCGAGCCCGAATTACCACTGTATTAGCGAAAAGCGAAATAGGTGAGTCGAGCCCAGTTGATAGTTTACTGCAAACATTTACCAACTTTAGAGAATTCTGCCACGTTGCCTCGGTCAACTTTATCGAGATTTGGCGCTCTTCATTTCAGGCCAGCTTGATAGTTTTGACTTGATGGAAGTCTATCGTTCAAGAGGTGCGGCAAATTGGAGTGTCATATGAAGCTCGGAATAAAGACAGCAGAATGCAGACCAAACAAGCCATATAACAAGAAATTTAAATAATGAAATTCTGTGAAAACATTAGAACAACCCTAATTCAAGACAGCATTTTTTGTACTAAGTTTGATGCGTATAGCGACGCTGCGAGCATGCACTCTGTTTAAGGTCACCGAAGTATATTATTATTATTATTATTATTATTATTATTATTATTATTATTATTATTATTATTATTATTATTATTATTATTATTATTATTATTCAAATATTCCTAAAGCCACCATTAAAAAGCTAGGACAAGTGGGAAGATTAATACCAGCCCCAGCCACTAATTAAGCCTCATAAGTGAAGATCTAATGATCTGCTTCCAAAGCGGAAATAAGGTATCCAGAAGCGTTTTCCAGTTTTCTTTTACTGACGACTGATCCAAAGATATTGTACATAACACACACCAATCTCGAATGTCCTTTCCTGTTACAATAGAAATACCTCTGCCACGCATACAACGCTTCCTGTACAGCAACGACAACCACTTTAAGAATTTTGGCTTGGTCGCCGCACGTAATCTATACAGATACCGTATATGAGTGATATATATCAGCAAAAAAAACTATCGAAATATTAATAACCTACGCAATCTCACTCGCGACTTCAAAGAAAACCTCCATGTTATCATCGGCACCACACACATAGAGGATTGGTTACTACCGACACCGGGGTCATACTACTGAAAACAACTGCTTCATTGTACAGAATATCGACTGTTAAACAATTTTAAATCGGTACTGTATAATTTCCCTGTGTACGACCTTCATAGAAAAAACGAAAATGATGTATGTAGTTTTGATACAGATTCGTGTTGTAATATTTATACCTATTTGATTTAGTCGCTTTTTAAAAGTAAAATGACTTTCAAAACATGTTAAGGCCCAAGTATGCTCATATATATATATATATATATATATATATATATATATATATATATATATATATATATATATATATAATATATGGTTTTGTGTTTGTATACAAACAGGGTATTCCAAATATCACACTGCATGACTTTTTTAAAATATAGTAAATGCGTTGCGCAAGCAAACCTAGTACCTATTCTTTCAAGTGCATTTATCCAGCTATTACTTATCTTTTCTTTTCGCGATAATTTTTTAATTGGTCATAATTATACTTGTAACTCTAAAAGTGCTCACCTAATTACCAGAATGTCAGTGAGGCATATGTGGGCAAGTTGCAATAATATGTGCTTTTGCCACTTTCAACAACGAACTATTTGAGTTATATCATGTTTCATGTAAATAAAATAGTATTATTATCCGTTGTTTAGCATCCCAAAAACACAATGACTATGAGAGACGCCGTAGTGAAGGGCTCCGGTAAATATTGACCACCTGGGGTTCTTTAACATGTACGTGAATTTTGCAGGTGGTCTAGTGGCTAAGCTGACTCGGCTGCTGACCCGCAGGTCGCGGGATCAAATCCCGGCTGTGGCGGCTGCATTTCCGATGGAGGCGGAAATGTTGTAGGCCCGTGTACTCAGATTCGGGTGCACGTTAAAGAACCCCAGGTGGTCAAAATTTCCGGAGCCCTCCACTACGGCATCTCTCATAATCAAATGGTGGTTTTGGGACGTTAAACACCACAAATCAATCAATCAAATCAATCGGTCGTGATTCTCGTCTCTGAGTATGACGTTTTGAATGATAGGGCTTTATTTACAGATTAGTGCTTAAGAAAATGATAGTTCGCCGTGGAAAGTGTTGCAAGCAATGGCTCACAACTGAGTTCATCGTTCCACGCTTCTACCCCTTCACACCGATAGAATGCTTCAGTGCCGTCACGCGCTCACTTTCGGCATCCTGTCGACCTGACGATATTTCAGTTCAGTCGTGCACCCGCGTAGGCATCCTGTTTTTCAGAAGGTAATTAACATATTTTCTCAGTCGCCATTTGAGGTCATGCGCGAGCAAAAAATATATATATATTCTAAATGTTTCACATTGCCCGCTCGCGTAGTTGACTGCCGTCTCTGCGCAGCGCATCGCCGGCTTGGGAGACGTGCAAACGAGCGCCAGCACCCTCTGGCGGTTTCCTCCCAAGGCGTTACGCGCTAGCCGGCGCGTTCACCACACTTTGGTATTCTAGCCACTGTAATAGAGCTTCGTCCTTTGGAACGCCGAACAACGCAAGCTTTCTTTTAGCTGACTTGTAGCCTGTAGTGAACCCCGGGACGAAGCAATGGCTTTGTTTTTGCGCCATGAGAGTACATACAGAAGTATTGGTGTCAGAGTGCCACCGCAATTGAGAAAAAGGGGGCGAACGCGCCCGACGAAACTGTCGGAAACGTGCAAACAACGTATGAACGATTGCGCGCGCCCCCGCATATGGTTCCTCCTCGGAGGTTTTCAGTGCGCTCCGTAGGTGCCGCATGCTGCTCATGACACTTTCCTTACCAACCACTGTAGTAGCGCCATGAGCGTGCAAGTATACTACAAGTACACTGTTATGATCAGAAAAATAAAACTGTTGAAAGTAGTGCCATGTGGGGGCATCTGCAGCAGCTTGGCGTCTTGTCTTGCGCTTTTGCCGTCATATATTTTATAATTCAAAGAACCTTACCTTGAGCGTACCGACTCTCTTGAGCCATATTTTCCTGTCACGCGACGGCCCACACAACACCGCGAAGATGGTGAAGCACGAGCGGCACCTGAAGAGGTATAAATACAATCATATCAGTAATTAGACAAGAAGCGTGCTCGGAGCAAGGATCAGACCCCTCTTCTATTTCACTCTCTTCTGTTATATCCCACAATCCTGATCCTTTCTCTCCCCAACTACCCATGGATCCCCCTTGTAGCGTTGTTAAGGAGGCCTCTATAGAGAGAGACAGTTACGGACGTCACACTTTTCTCCATTCTTTCAAAGCCGCTTGGAATCGTTCTTTAAAAACTATTTACGTTTATGCCCGCCTTTCCTTCACGTAGACTTGGAACTGTATGGAACCTAAGAATGACTCTTGCGCAGGCACTTAAGGTTGTGCTCTTGGCTCAGTAAATTTCTAGTGTGAAGGGATATGTGGCGTAAGATGAGACCGTGTGCTTTTGCGAGAACAGGACCCTTTGTGAGTGTTGACAAATATACAATTAGAACGCCAGGGTCATCTCGCAACAAAGGTGGCATTTGAATGCCGACTAATGCAAGAACGTAAAAAAAAAATTACTGCGTAAAAAAACAGTGACGATAGTTCGCAGACGTACATAAGCCTATCTGAGCAACATATGCATAAAAACAAGCAAGTTGCTCTTTTTGTATCACCTTGTCCTCCTTTCTGTTAATTGTGATAATAAATACAATAATGATGTATGACTAAGACCTTTATATCAGCTGATGGACAAATGTAATGTGCCTATAGCCCGGAAATATGTAAAATAAAAAAAATACACTTCATTAATAGACGCACACGTACACATAGCCGACAGTATTATTCTGCAGTTTATGTTGACACGAAATGAAGGTGATTCCGGTGTTATTTTAGGTTGCCTGCAACAAAATATAATGTATAACTTATTCATGAGCTCTAATGACTGCTAATATGAGTGAGTAAAAATTTCGTAGAACTGTTTAAGTCTTGTGCTATATTGTTGAAGGAATTAATGCTTAAAGTGGTATTGCTTAAGCGCAGTTAAGTTTGCGCTGCAGAAAAGATGCTATACGCTCAAGGAGAGGAAAAACAAACAAACAAAACAGACGACAATATGCGCGCAATATGCCTTTGATTATATAGCGCCCATACTGTCGCCTTGATTGAGCATATGAGCTTTATATGCTTTTGAGCACATAGCGAGTATGAGCGTTTTTTCCCCTTCTTGACCGTATAGCATCTTTTATTCACGCTCAAAATGAGCTGTGCTAAATCAATACCATTTTATCATGCAACAATAACTCACCCAGTAAGCAGTAAATGCCCAAAGGAATAGGTACATTACCATTATTACAAAAACTTGTCAAGTGACTAAATGTCATGTGAGCAACTCGATCGTTTCAAAATGGGCCAACAGGGTAGTGCACGATACAGGATGAAATACGAGAAGCTTAAAATACTCACAACAGTACTTTGCAGAACCGGATTAAGTACATAATTCATGCGCAGAAGACTGACGTTGACGCTGGTTAAGCAGGACCCGCAGCAGGCCTTCTTCTTTCTCTTCGTGTTTTCCTCACTCTGGCTCGCACCCGCTACAGGTAGGAGCTAGGTTAGGTAGAGCGCAGGCGCTTAATTACGTTGAGTTTTCAAACGGAAACAACTCAGTTTTTTTCACGAAGCTTTATCCTGTGTTCAATTAACTAATGTACTTCCGAGAGTGCATGTCAAGATTTGTTAAACTTCTGCAAGCGCACGAGTCGATCTGTACCTGAATGGTTGTCGATGGTGGAACCCTTGACAGACCTCAAAGATCTTTAGAATTAGTGTCTGTGCAGTAGGACTAACACTATTTGTTGTTATTACCTGTATGTCATAGATGATGTACATAATGTTTAGGAACAGGCAATAAAGCGACAGAAAAAAAAAATGGTTTAGCCATCTTACAACGCATGCACTGGGAGTGCCCTTCGGTACGTGGCACTGATACGGCATGGGCCAGCAGTGTGGCTCTGATTTGAAAAGTCTTTGGGCTGTCCAGAGGGGCCACGATGTAGCTGGACAGAGGGCTGTCCAGAGGGGCCACGAGGGGCCACACAGAGGTCTCGGCGTCTTGTGTTCCATCTTGGGAACGGCTCGCCGTGTGCTAAGCGGCACCGTGTGCTAAGGGGCAATCCTTTGAGCTTTTATTATGAAGGTTTTCCCAAACCAATTATTATTTTTTAAAAACTTCTTGGTTGAAGTATCTATCTATCTATCTATCTATCTATCTATCTATCTATCTATCTATCTATCTATCTATCTATCTATCTATCTATCTATCTATCTATCTATCTATCTATCTATCTATCTATCTATCTATCTATCTATCTATCTATCTATCTATCTATCTATCTATCTATCTATCTATCTATCTATCTATCTATCTATCTATTTTTTTTGAGCTCGTACATGGCTCCAAAGTTTGTGGGTTGTAGCTCGAATCTGGCCAAAGAGTTTCGTATTAGGGAGTTCTCGAATAGCGTAAGCACCACTCTGCGCACCGTGGCTTTGCGTAGGCGTTTCGCACCCTTGCGCATGCGTCACACGCTAACCACCTCCAGGTCTCCTTTAAATGACGGGAATAGCGGGCGACCGCTACAAACGTTAACAGCGTATGCTATTCGAAAACTACATGTTGTATGGAACTCAACAATCCTGGCTTTTCATCTGGTTTCGATATGTTGTGCCACCTCGCGAAGAAAACCATTACGCCCTCTACAATAGCTAGCGGCTACGTTAAAAGATGGCGACACATGCCTCAAAAGTGCCGCATGCAATAAATTGTTATGTGTGATTTTTTTTTCTTTGTCGTCAAGGCTGGCAACTTGAATCGTTTGGACAACCACGTGCTTCCGGTTGCGGAGCATTTTCCCGCCAAAGTTTCACAGCTGTTTACGGCACGGCGCTGTGTGTTGTGCCGAGGTGCTACTTTGTTGGCCGGTGATTCGGTGAACGAAAACTTGCATACCAACTAGAGTCGCCGTGGACTTCTCCATGCGATGAGTGAATCGGTATCGTCTTTAGTCCTTTCGGATATCCAGGCAGCATGCAGTACACTTGGAGGATGGGACGAAGGCAAATACTACAAGGAACCTGACTGCATAGGTACGCGGCCCACTGATATTCTCTGCATTTGATCGTTAATGTCTTCGCAGATCCTGTTGTTTTGATACTTGGACTTTTTTCGCTGCTACGTTCGCTCACGCGTTGTTGTTTTCATAGAAAGCTTGAAGGACCTCTTAAGGTATCTGAGGCGAGATGACGAGTCCCACGAGATCCGGCGCATCTTGGGCCGCATTCAAGTTCTCAGGACGGATCTCCTGCCCCTGCTCAAGTTTTATCCAGACGACGAAAGGTTGTTTGATGTCATCATAAGGTACGAAAATGTGCTTTGTACGAATCACGTCATCTTGATATTGCCATTGCACACGGCAGAAATATCGAAACTAAATGCGCCGCTGTGCCTGAAAGAAAGAAAAAAAGAAATCTACACAAATAGTGGAACATTAGTGACAGCAACTCTTGAGAAAGTATGCACTCGATGTATTGACATGCCATGCGTTTTGAGCAGAAGTTTTAGGTAGCTACGCCACGCTTAATCTTAGGCCGAGGCTACTTTATAGCTGATCATATTGTTTTCCAGAAGATTTCGTTGACACTTTAATAGTCGGTTCGAAATAGGGCATTCTTTCAGCTCAGCACACTGCTGTGGGCATATAAAGGTGCACTTCAGTCGAATGGTTTATAGTACATTTGACAGCTATGAATAAAGTGAGTTACACTCGGGCATGATAGTTTACTGCGTGTTCTCAATTGAACACAATAAAAAAAAATGGGGAAAACAATGTTGTAAGCACAGCCTTATTGCAGTATTCATGTACTCAGATTTGAAATAGTGGAGTGCTTTCTAATGGTGTCTGGATAAGTTTGTGGCCCCAAGGCCATTGCGTGTGCTTGCTTTGGGTAAAGCAGGAGCTAAGAGTTTTTGAATATGGTCTGCATTGCTTTGGACACTCCCCTAATTCTAGGTCACTCTAGGATTGGCCGAGGGCCGTCACTTCAGTGGGTGACTTCACGTTTGTCTGCTGCAAAGCTTTTGGGGCAGGCCTTAGGGTTCCTGCTAAATTCGAGAAATAGCATCCCCAATGCAAAACCCAAATCCTGTTTGGGTCTCGCGCAAGCACAGTGGCCTCGATGCTATTCCTTTGGGGCCCGAAACGATTAGAGCCCCTATTCCAAAACTCCCGAGTATTGTGAGATGTGGCACACTACTTTTGTAATTCACCGAGTAACCGGGGCCTCATTCATTGTTCAGCCTGAAGTTTGCATCTGCATCATCACATTGGTGTGGAACCTATAAGGAAAGAGAGTGCCAATTATTTCGCAGCCAGTGCCCATATCCGGAAAATGAAGTATGCAGTTCGTGCTTATGCTGCATAGATACACTGTGCCCTGATTATAAACTCTGTAGCTGAACAAATACCACTTTAATTTTTGGAAACTTCCTCTTTCGGAATGCATTTTGATAATAATAATATGTGGGGTTTTACGTCCCAAAATCACGATATGTTTTTGAGAGCTGCCATAATGGAGGGCTCCGGAAATTTGGACCATCTGGTGTTCTTTAACATGCTCTGACATGGTGCAGTACACAGGCCTTTACCATTTTGCCTTCATTTAATTGTGACCGTCGCGACTGGGATCAAGCCTGTGACCTTCGGGTCAGCAGCTGAGCACGCTAGCCACTGATCCTTAGAGGTGGACGAATGCATTTCAATTCGCGTGTGCTTTACGGTTATACCCCTGTCACACGGGACAATTTAAGTGTACCTCATTGCTATTGTCATTCCCACGATGTCACTTGGGAGCGTTTATTGCCACTCGCTGCGAAAGGCACCTGTTGATGAGTGCATTTGCCAAAGTCACTTCACTACGAGTGTCTAGCCTCTGTGGCAGTGGCTAGAGAATAAGTAAGCTATCATCCAAAGACGAGTTCATAGGATCATTTAAACTATTGTTTTCATTATTAGGAATATTCTTATGCATTGAAACATACTATGTAACACTAAAAACTGCTCTGTTGTTCTCTCTCTATACTGCCACAACCGCCAGGGGCACGCCAAGCGCATTCCATGCAATGGCCGCTGCGGCTGCATTTGTACGTAAAGTTTGTTTTAAGGGCTGCTCATAGCTGCCACGCATTAATATGTAAAAAACATTGTGAAAAATAACAATTATCTCTGGTATAATGTAATTACTCAATGCTACTACCATTATTTACAAAGTAAACTTCCCTTTATTATGTATAAGTGTTTTGCCAAAGTTAGTTTCTTGGCGCATAAGTGCACTTGCTTATTATATGACACTAAATTTGCCAGTGTTACTAGGGTATGAAACTCACGGACACATGTGGCCCTGTATTCACTGGTCCAAGTAATAAGTTCATATACGTCAGCCTTCGATAAAAGCTACTGACAGAAATAGTAAAAGGCAGTCTGAACTTTTAACATACCACCTCGTTCATGCCATCTTATGTTACTAGGTTGCTGGTGGACCTCACAAATCCTGCCATATTGCTGTACAAAGAGGAACTTCCAGTCGAGAAGTTTGCCCGGAACAACTACTTGGAGATTGTAACCCACCTTCAGTTGTACAAGCTGGCCTTTACAGATTCAAAAGTGTGGATTGCCATCACCAAAAAGCTTGAGTCACTTTTGCACAAAGTATGAAAACTTTTCATGTCTCTTGCCTCAAGTGTTTCACTCCGCTAATGTTATCTGCATCGACTTCATGTTGAAGGTCTGTCCCAGTGACCTCCAGTCTGTCCCATCTTGTGTTGGCAGACTCCTTCCTGCCAGCGCTAGTTATTCATGCCTCTTATAGTTCTTGTGATTGCTCATTGACCAGACTGACGGGTAATCTGTCAGCCTAAGAAAGGGCTAACAAAAGCTGTGAGGTACTGCTAATTTAGTGCTAAAAATGATTTCAGAGAGAAGTGTAAGTAACCTGTTAGCTGAAAGAGGATACTGAATCTGATGCTGTGTTGCTTTGGAACTGTTCATATTTTACATAGTACTCCTATTGACTTATTTTCCTCATCAATTTTTATTAAAAAGCACTGATGGCTTGTCATTCAATTGCATGTGGAAATAATCTATTGATAATTAGAGATGTCTATGTAAAAGTCAAGTACTTGCTTGAAATATATTTTTTCAAGAGACTAATTGGCGAGTAAATAACAACATTTAAGGTTAAAAAAATGGTGTGAAAGACAAAAGGTTGACGTTGGACGTAAACATGTGTGCTAGTTGCTTCAAGTAGAGGATATATCTGCATCATGGGGCATACCTGTGTACTTGCTGTTTGAGATGAGTTTGCACGGCTACGAACTATGCTTTTATAATGCAACAGCTTGACTTGTTGGCTGCTATCATTTGTGCCTATTGACGGGAACTTGGCAAACTATTGCAGAAGCTGTTCATGGTAATCAGAAACCCTCATTTTCTTACTTCTTGATGTAATTTGTGCCTGATTGCATGATGGTGAAATGAGAAAGATTGCAACAAAAGTAGAAACATTGACGTAATACCATATGATAAAGGTAAATGTTTGAGTGATTGTTTTTACCAAATGTGTAACTTCTTCCTATGAGGAATGGTATGATTTACAAGTGTGCTAAAAATACAACTTTTGCAGTTTGAAACCATGAAGTATGTGATGATGGTTAGATGATATACCTAATTGATGTGTTATAAATAATAGATGAACTATTTGAAAGCAAGTTGGCATTATAAAAGCGCCAGTTGATATTTTTCTGTTTTTTTTTTTTTCACACATCTAATGTGATTCTGGAGAAACCCAAAGCTTTTTCATATAATTTTGTTGTAGCATGTCGCAAAACATACCGAGACATCTACTAAACTGTCTGCAATCACGTTTTTGCAACATAGGCATAGAATTGTTACCTATTGTGAGGTAATACACCTAGTCTTATTTACAAAGCTTGTCCTTATGCATAACATGGAACCTAGGTGTTCTCTCTCCTAGAATTGGGAAACAAGACAGGAGGAAGACAAGGACACAATTGAGCGCATCCTTGTCCTGGTCAGGAATGTCCTTCATGTACCTGCAAACCCATCTGAAGAAAAGCGCACAGACGATGATGTCAACATACATGACCAAGTTCTTTGGTATGAACTTCACTTCAAATGCTTGTGTTTTTCTTCTAATATTGTACTTTATGCAATACCAAATGGAAGCACTGCTTAATGGTAAAATGACTATATATAGTTTTTTTGTTTGTCTTATAGAAACTTGTGCCATGACATTGCTGATGTGAATTTAGTTTAGTGAACGAAACGTTTCTGTGTGGCTTTCATTTATGGGAACATGTTTCATTTTATTGCGTAACTTTACAGTAAGCCTTAAAGCAATGGTATTGGTTCACTGAAGCTCTTTGATTATGACATTTCAAATCCTTTGCCTTGTAGGCAGTAAATTTCAAATTGTAAGGGCACAAGAGAAGCATCTATGGAGCTGTTTACATCTTCACAATCTCAGGCAGGGGAAAGAGCTGTTGCATTGTTTTTCATGTGCATTAAAATGTAGGAATGACGTCCCTGTAAACCTGACTATACAACTAATAAAGAAAGGATGTATTACACGAGCAGGCTATGGTATGAACACTTATGAGCCTAGGGCATGCTAGTTGACACTCATAGGGCTGGAATGTCCAACGAATGTGCTGCTTTTGCAGGTTATGTTAGTGGGATATGTTGCTTTACGTTTTTATAACTCTGCAAAACTTGTATCCACACCTAAAATGGCGCAAAAAAAGCACGGACAAGTAGACATGGGATAGTAGCTAGATGCCCACTTGTCCATTTTTCTTTTGCGTTATTTTACCTATATATATGTGTCAAGTGAGTCTCATTGATATGCTGTTGATAGGGGTGTGTGAATGTACAGGAATCTTTAGTAATGAAGCAAATAGTGCTTTGTGATTTACATACATATGCTGTTAATAGGAGTGTGCAAATATTCAAAAATCTTGACAAATAAATCGAATAGTACCTCATTCGATTAGGTACTCGAAGAAAGCAGTGCATATTCAAAATACCAAAAATTTTTAGAATAATCAGGGATGGCGAAAAAAAGTATGAAACGTTGGAACAATGAGGGGCAACATTCCTTGTTTTCATGATTCGTTGCTAAAATGCATGCAGCCCATGTTTTACAGGACCGTGTACGCTATGATGGTCACAGCATGAAGGCATTTTTGTTTAAAACTACTTTCATCAATCTGCTATCTTCACCATGTGATATTCATGATGATGTTAACTCCTGAAAGTTAACCATGAATACAACAACCATGTATACCAATTAACCATGAATACATTAACCAAATACATAAACTGTGTACTTCATCCTGCAGTTGCAAAATATTTTGAAGGCTGTAGCTCTTGTGGTATGCTGAGGTTGCTTTAGTTTAAGGATTGTGGTATTTCTGTTTAATATTAGTGATCGTAATGTTTCTTTGTTCAAGCTTGTGAGAATTTGTTTCAAATAATGGTAGTATGTGGAGTTACAGAGCTGTTTTGAACATTGTTACCTTACCAGTCTAGGGCTACATTAAAAATGGTTGTTTCAATACGTGAAAACTACTTGAAGAGTATTGGTTAGCATTCGTATTTGAGTCGTCTCAATACGTGAAAACTATTTGAACAGTATTGGTTTGTATTCATATTTAATTTCGTGTGATCACTCTTTGATTTGTACTCGATTCGGTTCTAAAATTTACTATTCGCACACCTCCAGTCATTGAGCATAGCTTATATAGTTCCGATATGTTATGAAATTGTAACTAGCATAGATTACATCAGTGGAGCTACCAAGAGTGGGCTAACAGCAGATGTCCACACAGTGGATATTTCAACTAGGGGGTAGATGTATCTTTCTTGAGGCATAGAATCTGTTTGAACCAGATATCTAGAGCGGTGACATTGGCTCCATATCGCAATGAAGAAAAGTTTCTGTCTAAATGTTGCTTGTTGAGACATTCTTGTTCAGCTGCGGTTGATTTGAATTTCCATGTGAAGATGTTTTGTTTGAATTAGAGAACTGAGACCAGACATGGATCTCAAATTTTTAAATGTGTGACTTACGTTGAACATCAGAAACATCCCATAAAAGTTTATGAGAAGGATTTTGAAAGTGCTTGGGTCTGACCTTGGTCAGGGTTCAGTAAAAACACTATACCACTTCTAGTATAGTGAATTCACATAGATATCTATATATTTTATATCTTTTGTGGAGCATTATTATGCCTCATGTTACCTCTATGTATCCACTCCTGCATGGGCCCGATTAGGGCCTGCAGTATGTACAAAAAAATAAAATAAGTAACTAAATAAATTAATCTGTTCAATGTAGCTGAGATTAACGGTATCCTTTACACACTTGGATTGACAAGGAACATGTGGGTTTTTTGTCTATAAAACATCATATAGTAGCTGTATGCGCTTGTTATATATAACTTTTATATCATGTAATACACAAGTTGTAGGTTTGGGGCTTCACTGATGGGAAAGGTGTTTTTTCATCTACTTCAATCTATTTAGTTCAGGTTGTAATTGCTGCACTAGAGTTAAAAACTGACAAATAATGTCCCCTACATTTTTTCTTGGCTTAATTGTCTGTTCTAATCATTACGGTGTGTCTGGCAAAGAAACTAGCCTCTTGGACAATTTGCCTTTTCAAGTTTTTGTCTACTGTATTTTTTCTTTCTACAGAGATGAGACTATACTCCAAAATCAAGGTTACTGACATTTAGATTTATTTTGCTTTCTAGGGCAATGCATCTTGCTCACCTTGAAGATCTGTTGCTCTACGTCACCAGCAGTGATGACGAAACAGACTACTGTTTCCATTGTTTGGAAATTTTGTCCTTGATGCTACGAGAGCAGGTAAGGCTCACGTTTATGGTGAAGCTGCTAGCCTCTTTCAACACAAGAATTGTGTGAAATGAGCCACTAGTGGTTCATGATGCCAAAAGAAGCATCCGATATGCTTCTTTAAAGGTTGTTTTTAAATGCTGTTGCATACCAAATGCATGAAAGCAAAATATACAAGCACTTCTTGGAAGAGTACGATTGTATTATATACGAAAGGAAAAAAAAAAATGAAAAGTAGAAATTTCAGTGGGATCAACCCAATTTGAAAAAATGACTTCTCATAAACAGACATATGTTGCTACATCGTAAAATGGCTGGTCCATTATTACATAAACTGTAGCCACATATCTTACGAATAGGAAGGCAAGAATGGCTTGTTCTCTTGGAATTTCAATGCATATCAGTGTATCTGAAGCAGGTAGTATTAACAGAATTAACACCTTGGTTTTTCACATTTGCCTAGCATTTTAGTATGTATGTTTTTACATTGTTTTGCAATATATAAGGCACCCAAAAGAGTAACTGGATGCAAATCGCTGAGACGTGAACTGAGGCCTTGTGAACTTTTCCATAAGCAGTGATCGTCGAGCTTTTTTGATAGTTATTTTACCATTAAAAAAAAAAAGGAAAGCATCACCAAAGACGTGTTGCTTCTAGCTCACTTACTTCATAGGATGGCCCCTATCTGTTCATAGCTTACTCGTGTACTCCCACAAATTTTTATTCCGTTGTAATGTAAAATTTTCTTGCTCAGTTTTGCAAAGTGAAAGCCAATGAAGGCAGAAGAAGTTCGGGGGACATTAATTGCCATTTTTAACAGTAAATTAGGAGAAACGAGATTAATTGAAAGGACAACTTGGCCCAGATGGGAATTGAGCCCACATACATTATATTCGTCGTGCAGGACTGATACAGCTAAGGGCTGCCATACACTTAGCGATGCTCATGTTTGTGGCGACATCCACTTGCTAGACATTTGCAAGATGCATGCATTTTGCTATAATGTGAAGCGGAAAACTTAAGACTATGTGGGTGCAACGTATTTTGTAACAAACCCGCAATGCCCTTTGCAACATTAAGACAAAAAATGCAAGATCTTGTGTGCTAAGGTGGCTTCATTGTTGCGCTTCAGAGGTACGCGGGGAAGTTAGGCTTCGGGACACTTCGCGGGGATCATTTTCAAAAACTTTGCTGAGGATGCGTGTTATACGCGACAGAACACCGTATATGTTACAGTTAGAGCCGGACTCCCAACATAACATAACATGCCATAGCATGCCTCATTTCTTGCTTGTACCACTTAACTGGCGGTACTCGTTGTGGTTTCGATGCAAGTCGACCCCCTAGCTTCGTATTTCAAATTTATTTAGAATGGTTTGACGTATGATTGTGTAAGTACAGTATGCACATTTATATATCTTTTCATAACTTTTGTTCAATGCCATACACACATGGCAAGCATTATTCTTCTCACAACATGTTCGTAAAACAGTTGCAACAAGTAGCAGAAGCAAGATGGATGGACTTAATTCTACACATATTTTGAGCACTTTAAATTTAGCAAGGTTGCCTTTAATTACCGTGAACTTCCCTTGTCAGACTGATTTTCACAGCATTAACACTTGAATTGCTCTTATTTCCTTCAGTCCCCAGAAGTGCTGGCAAGAGCTGAACAGCCAAGGACCGCTGCTGAGAAAGATGAAGATGTCCGGTAAAAATTGATATATTACAGTATAGCATTCCTACCTTTGCATTGCCCCGCTGTGGTGGTCTATTAGCTAAAGTACTCGGCTGCTGACCCACAGGTCGCGGGATCGAATTCCGGCTGCGCCGGCACCATTTCAGATGGAGGCAGAAATGTTGTAGGTCCGTGTGCTCAGATTAGGGTGCAGGTTAAAGAACCCCAGGTGGTCAAAAATTCCGGAGACCTTCACTACAACGTCTCTCATAATCATATGGTGGTTTTGAGACGTTAAACCTCACAAATCAATCACTATATATATATATATATATATATATATATATATATATATATATATACACACACACACACACACACACACACATATATATATATATATATATATATATATATATATATATATATATATATAAGAAAAGGAAGAAGTTTACACTGTGTAAAGCTTAAGAAACAGTGAGCCTGGTTGATCTTTAGCGCTAAACATGGTTTCTGGGGCTGATGCTAGGTCTTTCCTTGGCATAGACTGAGTCCAGTCGATCTGCAGCCTGTCGTAGACCATGTAAAAATGTCTGAACTCCAGTGACAGAAATTAACGTGCAAACCTGGTTGTGTCCCCCCATTAAAAAGTGCGGACCTTTCGTCGGTCATATGCATCTCACGCCACCACGGGTATTTTCGGCACGGTGGCTGCACGGTTCATCTTTGTCTGTAGGTGTGACTTGATGGTGGCTGCTCCTCGAATGCTTCGAATATTCGAACGAATAGTTGAGTATTCGAATTCGATTCGAATTTAAATTATTGAGTATTTTTGATGTATTCGCAATGAACGTATACATGTATAATAAACTGCATGTTATTGCCTGTAAAGGCGGTTTCACTGCATTGTAGGGGTGCTAAGCTGTGAAAGCATTTATAAAAAAAATTCGTTTTGCCGCGAAGCTTTCCTTCAATTTTAAAGGGGCCCTGCAACACTTACTGCACATGGTCAGAAAACACTGCCGATCGGTAGTCGAGGCTACCGAGAACACGCGAGGCAAATATTGTAGCACAGCACAGGGCCTGGAGTTTGAAATAAATTTTCAAAGCCATAAATTGCTTTCCTTCCTCGGCAAATGACACTACAAGCTCAAAAATCACTTGTCACAGCCAAGCAGGAATATACAACTTTATTCACATCTATCAGCATGGTGCGCTTGTTGTTACCGGGGCCGCCGCTTGTCCACGAGTATGTGCGCAGTTGTACTGAAAAGCAGCGTATTCGAAGAAAAAAAAAAAAAAGAGGTGCTCAAGGTCACAAGGTGCATGTGACGTATTTTTTTTTCGCCATGCCATTCCTCCCTGCTTAGCTTTCAGCTATTTCATCCGGATTGCAACGTGAAACAAAATTTTCGAACTCCGCTCATACTGGACTGATTCTAGAAACGTCGTGGCGGTAAATTTGTGAGGCAACAAGCATGTTTACTGGCTCCATGGCTATTTGAAAAAGTGTTGCAGGGCCACTTTAACTCTTTCGTTACCACGCCTATTCAATTCGATCACCTGTGATTGACGCCTTTATCGATTTCGGCATGTTAATTTGTTTCTCATGCACCCAGCTCTTTCTCATAGTTAAAAAGGCCACTCAACTTTCAGAAGCAATTTTCATTTGCGCATTTTGGCAACATGATGATTTCTGACAGACCTTTGCGCGTACAAATGTGCGAGTATTATTGGAAAAGTGCACTAGGCTGGCGAACTTGACAGAAGTGCGTGCCCCTCGTGATTATGCTACAGTAACATCGGACTTCTGTAATGAAAAGAACCTTTGGAAGCCAAATATCGAATCAAAGTGTCAGCTTCGCAATTCCACTATGTTGAGCATTTACGTTTGCCAGAAATTCATGCTAGCTATTCAATAGATAGCTGTTCCTAGGAGTCAGAGAAAATTTGGTCTACAAAAAATATTCATAAAGGTTCGCCGCATGTTGAAAGCGTCAAAATGGCCTTCTCTGACAGTTCCCAGTAGCTTTGGCTGTGCTTGCATCATTATATCAGACACAAGGTTGCATCTAGTGGCACTAGTCGCTCCTATGAGGTTGTTGTCATGCACGCATATAGCTGCGCGTCAGCACTGAAAAACACATGCTCTGCTCAAAACTGTCTGTCAACTCCACCTGAACTGAGTGAGGACGAGCTTAGAGTTCGAGGATGACAGCATCTCAGCTTCAAGTTTTACGGTGACGATTTTCTACGTCAGCCTGAGACATCCGCAGCTGTTCAGGGGTTTGTTTTATTTATTCTCAGATTGTCTCCTTGTCTGTAGCTGTGTACAGCTTCGGACCTTTGCACACAATCTTATGGCTATTCTGGTTACGTTCATGGTCCACAGTTCACTAGGACGCAGTGTGTGGGCGCTGGCTGCAGAACTTCTCCTAATAACAAGAAGGCCTCCGGAGCACATCTGGGCCCGGCTACGGAGAAGTGCGAAATGGTTTAGAGCTGTGCGCATTATTGTGCTTTTTTTTTTATACAATATGCGCAAAAATGCTAAGAAATATGCTTGGATGCATATACAGTCGAGTTCACATATAACGGCCACACTTAAAACGAACTTTCGCTTAAAACGAACAATATCCGCGTGACCGTGAAAATATACATTGGTTCAATGGCACAAAATTGCACTTACAACGAACGTCTCCAAGTGCCGCTGATCGGTTATAGCGAACGGAGTCTGCGCTCTGCAGACTTCCTTGGAAACCACTTCCGACCACGGATCAGGCATCGGTGAGGTGCTCATACATTCCTATTTTTAAACGCCGACCCTGCCTCTGCGCTCTTCTAGTTGCCACTCTCTCCGAACGCTTTTTGTTATGCACCCCTCCGTCCTTCGTCCCCCCGCTACTCTGAGCACCACGCATCGCCAGGCGAGGCCCTTGTTTTCAAACTGCCATCGATCTTTCGAAGTCTAGTTGGCCATCTATCCTGTGTTTGATTGCCTGTACTGTCTTTGACATCGCCGGCCTGGAGTGACCAGACCATTTGCCAACAACGTCGGCCACCGACTGTATCTGATCGTCTGCGTCTAGTGCGCGCGCGTACGCTACCCCATAGACTCTGATAATTTGCAATCATTTCGTGTTTAGGCCTTGTTCTCGCTCACTTCGCACTCGGCTCAGCATGCCCTCCGCACGCGTGCAGAAGCGCGGAAACGGCTGTTAATTTGCGCAGAACGAATCGTGAAATATCGAAGTTGGTGAGGCCACGCAAACTCGCCGGCGCGAGTTTCAAGTTCAAAAACTCTCAAGTTTTTCTACGTGCGAGTTGCACATTTCGAGGACCTTTCAGGCAAGCTACCCAACCTGCCTCCTTTCCATGTGTTTTGGTTTTTTCAAGGTCGCCCTCCCGCTGCATCCTCCCCTTTCTATCCCAACTCCTTGCCCTTCTCTCGCAAATCTGCTTTCCTCTCTTAATCACAACCCCTTCACCCGTCTCCACCGCTCTGCGAACTGCCAGCCACTGCTGGCTCGAATTATTTCAGTTTTCCGACTAGAAACGGGCCCAGAGCTGTTCCATGCGTTCTGGCATGCGTGTCGCGTGTGCGCATCTTGCTCGCTCTTGGTGTGCAGTGTATGGTCAGGATGGCAGACGGGAGGACTTGCACGTTTTTTCTTGCCGCTCAACAACACGTCGTAAAGTGTGACCGCTTGGCTTGGTCGTAATCCGCGCGTTAGGTGCCGCGTCGCGGAGTGCTTCCTCATAGCTGTTGACCACCTGGCAGCCAACTTTCCGCTTCGGGCGTCCCGGTATTCAGCTGTGGAGATGGTAAATATTTGGTGGGCGGCGGTGATAGCTACATGTGCGCGAAACTGTTTTCGCGAGGCTGACTTCGTCGACGTTGGACCCGATGCTGAGCCTGAAGCTTCTGAACAGGATCATTCCGGCAGCGATTTGTGACAGCGTGTCGTCGACTCCGAGCTGGATGGATTAGGGCGTTGTGAATAAAGTACGTGGCGAGAGCGATTCGGAGGAATCGGATTGTGAGAACGACAATACTTCTGAGCCAGTGCTTCACGCAGCTTATGCCACGGACCTCGGCGAACGAGCACCTTGGCGTTTTAAATGAACTCGAGACCGCCCTTATCACTTCTGCTTTTCAGAGCACGTTCATCACGGACTTTTTGGGCAAAAAAAGTTTGTGTTTCACTCGCAATGTTATTAAAGGCTGTGTTTCACTCGCAGCTTTTTTAAAGACTGTGTTTCACTCGCATCTTTTTTAAAGGCTGTGTTTCATTTACTACGAACTTCGAGATACAGCGCACGGATGCCGCATCAGGCTCAGATTCGTTATAAGCGGGCTCGACTGTATTCGAAAGCCAACCTATGCTGAGTGAGGTGGCTCATAGAAAGAGGTGACGCTAGATTAAATAGCGAAGTTCATTGGACATTTCATTTATAGAGGGAATATTCACATCATGGATATCCATCTATATTGGAACACCTAGAGACTCCTATCGCAAGACAAAATAAAGTTACTGAGAAAAGTGTACGAGTAAACTTGTGTCTCACAAAAAAACCATGCAATGCTTCACCGCATGGCACAAGCAACCAAGCAGCACCTCGGTTTGATTTTTTTTGTCTCTGTGAAGAGGAACAATGTGCAAAATTTATTACTTTTATAGTGTTCTGGGTCAATTATCCACAAAATGTATATTCAAAATTTTCTTTGTTTTGAATGTTTTTGCTTAGTGGTTTTGGGACGTTAAGCCCCACATATCAATCAATTGAATGTTTTTGCATACATAGTGTTTTTTATTGCGCTGTTTACCAGCTGGCAACCGGAACTTTCACACTGGTCACATTTTTATTCATTCTAAAATAATTTTGTTGCTCTAAAACATATATTTTTTGGAAAGAGCATTTCATTGTGTGAAGTTTAGTATGCTGCAATGCGTGCCGGAGTACTTTTCAAAGTGGCAGAAATGATTTCCCTGAGACATATGAAAAACAACAATTTTCGCGTGGTAAAGAAAGAGTTAAAGGAACATGTTGCCCTCATAGTCAATTCTTAATTTTATTAAGCTTGCATACAACGGCTTATATGATTCTAGTATAATAAATTTTAAACATTAAGTATCTTATCACTCGCATTTTACTGAAAATACTACTCAAGGTTGTTTCAACTTACTTTGAACGAAAAAAAAAGGCATTTGCATATAGCCTCTATTCAAATTCAAAAGAAATAATGTGCAGGTTTGTTACGTCATGATAAATATTACCTTTTTTATATGTCATACGTACCATTCGAATTCAATTTGAAGTTAGTCGATCAAAATCGCTATTCACTTCCAACCTAAAATTCACTATTCGGCACAAGCCTAGTTTTTGCAGACACCCGACGTTTTTTCTTAAAAGTGTGGCACGGCAAAGTTTTAAAGAAACATGCAGATAGTTGACACAATGAATAGTTTTTGCTAGTCTTGATACCAACAGTGTCTCTGATTTTTACTTGATCTTCATGAACAGCATGAAAAATGTCTACATATTCTAGTTACGACTTTTCATTATCGTTGTTATATTCAGAATGAACGTTGCAGGGACGTGGTGGGCATGATGTTTTGCTGCCGAGTTTGATGTGCTGAATTTTCAACAATGGTGGCTACAATTCGATTCCAGTGGAACTGAAATATAACTGTACATCACATAGATCACATCTAAGAGTCCAATGAGTTAAAACAGTCTGAAGACCTTTACTATGGCACTTCTAGGCCCTGTGTGCCACTTCAGGACTCCAAGATCCACAAGCAAACATATAATTACTTGCATAATAATGGGAACCAAAGTTTTACTGCTACCTGTGCTGTTGCTTTTGGCTTTCACTTATGGCATTCTTGTGCCAACTTCAAGGATAGGGCACACAACACATTTACGAAACAAGGACGCAACCCTTGTTGATTCCCTGGATCGTGTGTTTTCTATGCCTTACTTGCTGTAAAGGCAGAATTACTGCCTTGCCCATTCTCAAGTGGATGAAAATAACTGGTTACCTTAGGTGGTAATTAGCTTGAAATGTTTTCGATGATTTCATCATGCATGGTGATTGTACTGCCTGAGGTACATGCCAGTACTAGTAGGTGAAGTTTGTAATTCGAACGAGTATACATTTGCTTTTTTGTTAAGCTAGCCCTCCGATCTTGCATACTGTTTGCATCCTACTTCTGAGCGATGTTTGCCTCTAGCGTTTGAAACAATGTATGTTACGCACACAGATGTTCATTTTCTTGTGCAATAGTTAAGGCAACCATTCAGAACTGAAGCTAGGCTAGAAGGCAGTGTATTCTAGTCTTGAAGGTGAAACTCAATGATTCTTTAAGTTTTTTTACAGACGTTCGCTTTTTCAATTTGTTGCATTTCAGCGAACTTCTTAAAGCCAGGGAGGTGGAGCTCGCAAGAAAGAAAATGCAAATGCAGGCAAGGACAAAGAGGTAATTATCTGGTTGTTGCATAAGGTATTAGAATTAGTCGTACTGCTTTTCTTCACTTCAAATAATGTAGGTAATATGCTCACGTAGCAGAGTAAAATACCAAGTTTTGTTAATTTGTGGCATCACGTTTTAACGGCAAAAATGACCTTCCGTGTTTGCACAAACTGATCCACATCTCATTAGGAAGCATACTGTTGTATGCCGACTGAAGAGCATTGCTCGCTGTGAGATGCGAGGGAAAGTCACAGTGCTGAAAAAATCTGACCCTCTTGCTTAACTGTGTGACTGTGTGGGTTGGTGATATGAGGAGCTTTTTAAAACTGTGACCGGCAACATGGCAGCATAGCGAAGGACTAATGCAGCTTTACCCGATGAGCACGCAAGCATTTGTTACTAAGCAAAAACTGGCACCGTTTCGTTAAAATGTGGCTCCATTATTATCATGTTCTGCTCTAATGCTATTTCTTTTTTTTATCAGGCACCCTCGCTTTGGTGGAACATTCACCGTGAAAAATATGAAAGGCATTGGTGACAATGACCTAGTTGCTCATGACACTTTATCCAAGCTTTCCCAATTGAGCTTCGATCGATCCAAGCCGTTCAAGGCCAAGCCCAAAAACAGAAGGCCTGTCCTGGCAGCCGATGACGTTACGCGGAGGTCCACCTTGAACATTCGGCTGTTTCCTGAAGGGTCTCTGCACTGACTTCCTTAAGTGGTGCTACAATCCCATGATGCGGACTGTCAAGGTATCTCTCCACTTGGAATTCTCGCTTTTTTGTTTCTCAACAGATTAGTGTATTAAGCATCTTGTCAGCCCATGTGTGATTGCTGTGTTTTCTAGAAAGTGTTTATACAATAAATCAAAACATCAGTTTCATAGTACTATTAGTGCATGCTCCTCAATTCATTACAGCATAGGGCTTGTCTGCGGCTCTGTGTTTCAATTAGCATATCATCCAATGTTAAGAAAGCATTATAGCAAGAACCAAATTGTAGGGCGATGGCACAAGTTGTTCATTTTCATTCTAGTCAAATGCATTTGCATACTTATAGTTTTAAAGTTGCAACTTGAGCAGACGAAAGGATTTTATTCACTATCTTCCCATATCACATTATAGACAGCACTGCTTGATTTTGGATCATGTTTCAGGTGTCATGAAAATTGTAAACATAGTGATAGGGGTTAAAGGAGGGCTGTTATAACGCGTAGGAATAAGAGCAGCTCGTACATTTGTACAGCCGTGTTTACTATATACACTGTGCATGCGCAGTTGAAGGCACCGTGAAGTGCAACAATGAATAGGCTTAGATTGATGAACAACGCTTTGAGAACTTTAGTGTCAATAATTTCACCAACGTACGTTTATTAGTAGTGCAGGAAACCAAGTTTAAAGTTCTATTCAAGTTTAAAGCTCTGCTTTAAAAATATGCACCGAAATCATTATGCATTACCGCACATTTTAGAGTAGTTTTCGTATTTTGGTGACATTTGCACTACGAAATTTCCAGAAACTTGGCATGTTAAATTTATGGCGCCCTCACAGGACAATGCTTCATTTTTACTTATTAGGAACTGCAGTAGACTCTCACAGTAAAATCAGGTTCTCTTCACAATGTAGAAGAAACCACTTCTCCCCACTCGGCGCCCGAGGCACACCACCCGCATTGGTGTAGCAAAGTGGGAGAAGAAACGTACGCCGCTATCCCAATAGCGGCTATTGGCCTGCTGGTCGCTTGGCGATGAAGCAGAAGCAACGCTGAAAAAGTTCTAGATGGCTGAGAAAAACTTGTATTTACAGATTTTACAAAACAATGGACATCAATGTTACCAAAAAAAGAAAAGAAAAACAACTTGGAAATGAACCGACTTCTGTAGGGTGACCCTACGGGGTTCGGCGGAGCCGATGGTGCCTAACACCGCAAGCTCGGTTCAGAACACTTGGCGGAGCCCCGGGGCCTCTTCTTATCCCTTCCTGGCGCTCCGCCCTTACAACACTCTCGGCAAATAATCACCTGCTTGTCCTTTGATTGGACAGTACAGTAGGCAGATCAACAAAAAAAAACCGCCACGAGGATGCCGCCTTCGTGCACGTGGGACTCATGCAATCGCCCCAAACAACACAACAACCAAAACGTAAATAAAACCAAACTAGCAAAAGCATAGAGGCCAGGGCCAGCTTCGCGGCGCACAATTATCTAGACAGAGCCAGCCGTACTCGGTATTGCGACCGTAGGGCGACTTCCCTCTACCACGTCAATTTCTTGACGACAGGGCTATAATCCTCTAGCCTCTGTGCGCCGTACGAGGAACCGCTCGCTGACCGCGCATGTTTCTGCTTACGAGCTCCTTTGCCCGGATAAACGGGGACGCAGTCGAAGACATGCCCGATTCAACAATAGGCAACCCAGGCGTCGAACGGGCGGCCGTTGCCATTTCCCGTGTCGCGAGCCCGCTTCTGAGAGTTACTGGACCAAAGCCGGACCGGCAGTAAAGGTCGTCGGTGACTTCAGAGTTTTCGCAACGCGCCGCCGATTCTGCAGACGCGCAAACAGTACGTGGCCGGGCCATACGCCGAACCGATGCGAGGAGTCACCGCGGTGCGCAGGGTCTCGGAAGAGGCGCGTTGATGCGCCGACTGCCAGTTCCGAGAGGCAATTAGGGGGTCGTCACAATGACGTTTATAATCTCACCCCTTTTGTTGCCCCGGTTGGTTCCCTTTTCCTAGAGTTAATGGTAACTCGAAATGCTCGACCATCTCTGGCGTTGAACAAAGCAGGGTAATATGCTGGCGCCGTGTGTCTGCGCTCGCGGCAAAATCGGTTAGTCGCGCTTCGACCGCTTGTCACTCAAGCAACGCTGGCTGCCCGCGGCTGACATGCTGTCCCAAGCTTACGCCGCAAAGCAAATAAAAGCACACAAAAATTGCCGCGCTACGAATTCTTACCGCGGTCCTACACCCCCCATCCAAGACTTCGCAACAACTTGCCTACAGTGTTGCCGAAGTAAACCCACACAAAAAAAACCGACCGCGCTCAACCAGTGGGTGTAGGGCGGGTTAACAGCTGCAGCCAACGGCTGGGGTGTCCCTCCCACTACGCAGTGGTCGCGCTGCACCTGGCCGGCAGCAGCATGCGCAAATTCTCTCCTGCAAAGGAAGCGCGCAAAAAGCCCCACTTGGTCTCGGTGCTCAAAAAAAAAAAAAACAATGAAACAAACCAGTCTCCAGCGCCAGCTGACATGACAAAGCTACTTAGTAAGCTGCCCTGCTCTCTTAATATAGCGAGCCTATTCAAAACATCATGCAGCGGAGACACGGTATCTAGTAGACCCGACCGAACGTGCCAGAGCTGCTCGCTCCGCACGCCTTTTCACCAAACGCTTATGATGCATGCAACATCTGACATTCCCTGCCGTGGGCAATTCCTTGAACACTCTGCAAGAGTTTTCATTAACATGACACACACTGCAACACATGCCCCAGAACAATCGGGCGCTGTTGGCCCACCCAACATAATAAAAAAACGCAAGAAATATTGGCACTTAAAAGCAAACAGACACCACACGCAGTTCACACCACTACACTTGGTAATTGTCACACACTGTTGTATGATGTTCAAAAGTTCCATCAGCATTCTGAAGTGTTATTGCCATGTTTGCCCCACAAATCCATCACTTAGTCCCATGGCACATAACACTCGTTCCCCCTCCTTCACTGATCGCCGCTGCGGGGCTCTCAGGCTACTGCACCTCCTCCCAGCATTGGTTTGTCAGCCGGGAAAGCGCGTCGGCATCAGCATGTGCTGTACCCTTTCTGTGTTGCACTACCACGTCGTAGCGCTGCAAAGCCAATGCCCAACGTATCAATTTGGCCCCTTGTGGCGAAGCTTGAGTGAGGTACGCGAGTGGATTGTGGTCGGAGACGACAAAGATTTTGGCCCCTAATACCCAGGTGTCGAACTTTTTGAGTCCCCAAATGACACCAAACGCCTCGCGCTCTATCGTAGACCATTTCATCTGAGCAGGCGTGAAGCGATGACTGGCAAAAGCAATCGGGCACTCGGTACCGTCATCGGCCATTTGGGCCAAACAAGCTCCCACAGCGATAGCGGAAGCGTCCGTAAAAAGCCAAAACGGCTTGTGAATGTCTGGAGTGGTTAATTCAACAGCGCTGCACAGGGCACCCTTGAGTTTTGCAAATGCCTCGTCGGCCTCGGGCATCCAAGGGATGTGGTTAGGAACATGTTTAGCCGTCAATTGGGTAAGGGGCTTGGCAATGCCAGAAAAATTGGATACGTAACCCCGGTAATACCCGCACAGACCTAGAACACTCCTTAACTCTTTTTTATTATGGGGTACTTGCAGCCCCTCAATAGCCGCGAGCTTGCTGGGGTCCGGACCGTGCTTTCCCGATCCCACAATATGTCCGAGGTAGCAGATAGACGCGCACGCCACCTGACATTTTTCCATGTTAGCTACTAGACCTACGGACGTTAGGGCGGAGAACACAGCGTGGAGGTGCCGGACGTGCTCCTGTAGGGACCTGCTGAAAACCGCAATGTCATCCAAGTAGGCACAGGCATACGCCTCATGGAGTGCTAACAGCTGGTTTATACTCCGCTGAAAGCTGGCTGCCGCGTTCCTGAGCCCAAACGGCATTACCTTCCAAGCAAGCTGACCTAGGTGCGACACGAACGCGGTCATGCGCTGTGACCCCTCCGCTAAGGGAACTTGCCAGTAGCCTCGTCGGAGATCAATGAGGGTTATATAACTAGCCTGACCTACATTCATGATCAATTCTTGCGGGAATCCCATTGGGAATGCGTCTGGTTCGGTTATGGCATTCAAGCTTCTGTAATCGACACACAGGCGCACCTGTGCCATCTTTTTTCGGGACGCACACAAGGGGGTGAGCAAATGGACTTTCGCACCGGTATATTAAACCAAGCTCGAGCAGTTCCGCTATCTGTTTTGAAACCTCGTCCTTCAAGGCCACTGGCATGCGGTAAGGGCGGCTACGTTTCGGCGTGGCCCCTTGCATAAGCCTTATCTTATGTTCGCCGACTTGCGCGATCCCCACTTCTCTGCTAAATAAGGCCGCATGGCGTTCAAACACCTCCCGTACTAACACTCTTTCAGGGGGCTGCAAATGAGCCAAGCTACCCGCCGGTAGGATAGATGCTCTGTCGTGCGAGGTGACAGGACGCGGCACGTATTCCACCTCCCCGAATTCGGGGTCATCATGGATTACCGTATGACACCAATGTCAGCGACACGGCACGTGTACGGGCGCAGGTGGTTGGCATGCACTAGCATACGCTTACCCGCCGGCCTCTCTAAGTAATAGGAGTGTTGGTGGTACTTTCCTGTGATCCTGCAAGGATCTACTCATTTCGGTTGCATCTTACCGGAACGGTTGCTATCAAAAACAAGCACCTGCTCCCCCAGTTGAAACTCCTTTTCTTTCGCACGAAGGTTGTATTGCGTCGCGTACGCCCTCTGCTGTTTAGTTGCGGTCACGTTAGCAGCTTCCGCGGCTATCTCCAACTGTTTCTTCAGTTTTCGTATATACTCCGCCGGCTTGTCTGCCACTGTCGCGGGCATTTCCTGTTCTCCCGTCCAAGCCCTCGGTAGGATCGCGAGCGGACCGACGGGTTTTCTGCTGTACATCATCTGGAACGGGGACACGCCCGTAGTGTCGTGAGGAACTTCTCTGTATGCCCACAGTAGAAGTGGCACGAACTTGTC